TCCATTTGCAGGTGTAACATATGTAAAAGACTATGGGTTTTCTATTGCATTTAAAAAGCACTATGAAAGGTTAAATAAATCTTCCGAGGTATTTGTTTGTGTTTTATTGGGTAAACTTTGGGGAATATTTATTTTCAAATGCATACTCTACCATTTTAAATTGTATTATTATAAAGGTTGATAAAATTAATGGTATGTCTAATCAAAATATACATATCTTTATGCATATTTTTTCTTACACTAATATGCTTTTTTCTCATGTCTGTTTAACTTTTTGTATTTTATGATAGAATATAAGAAGTACAGAAGAGCCTCATGTCATTAAGGAAAATGTCAAGGACTTTCTGAAACAGTGAAGATTTAGGGTTTTTTTCATCATTGCTAAATCATTAGAATTTACTGCTTAAATGTCTAACTTAAATCATTAAATAGTTCCCTTTGCAATGCTGTTCATATTATTTCAAAGATTTTCTTGTCTTCAGTAGAGACTCTTGGAGATATAAGGCCCATATTTCTCAAAAAAACCTTTTTATGCTGTAAACACAGCAATGCATTAAAGCTAACTAAACTGTTCATCTATTAACCTAGATTAAACCTAAACCATTGTATTACAACATTTCTAATATAAATATTTTTCTTTTTTCCTGTTTATATTCTCCCTTGGATTAAAATTTATCAGAAAAATGGATTTTCATCCACAACTCCTGTCAGTATTATTCTAAATAGGGAGAAAATTTTCAAAATTATGTCTTTTTTTAAGGGTTCTGTTGTGTCTTGAATCACGATCTCTCACTGAAAGAATTTTTTTAAGGTAATTGATTCTATAGTATAAAAGAAAAACAGAGTTTTTTTATAGAACAATCCATGCACAGAAGAGAAGGCAGACATTGACAGACTGTACAGAAGCAGATTGATTTGTAGAAGATTTATACACTCCTGTACATCAAGGGAGCTTTGTCAAAACTTGTATTGACTTCAATAATTTAGATATTCTTGGTTATTATATTCATGAACAGAGATACAGACTAGAAATTCTTCTTAAGACAGTCTGATAGTGTACATTCTATATAGCAACACAGATGCAGTTGCCAATTTAGCCTCCACAGGGGTTTTGGGGGAAGTTAAACACATTTCACAGCAACTCACTTTACTGCATTCTGCTAAATTTGTAATTAGAGGATTCAATGACCTAGAGAAAATACTCTTTTTCCTCATAGATCCTCTGAAGATGTTACAGATTTTTTTTTCCTCCTCACTTAATATCACAGATACCATCAAGATGACAAGGAATGGCCAGTATACTTCAGTCAAGGAAGGGAGATATTTCAGAACTTGTCATCACGCATTAACAGAACAGAATGGTTATGTTGATGACTCTTCCATGATAAATGCTCTCCCATTCAAAGATACAGGAACAGACTTTTAGGACAATACAACCTGGAAAATCATACTCAGATACAATGCTATTCAAATGTTTTTTGTAGTCCAATGCTCTTCAAAGTGGTAGAAAGCACAGGTCTGCTTGAGATCATATACCACATGCATTAAGATTCTTTCCACCAGGAGAAGGATTTTAATACAGGCTTCTCACAAAGCTGCTGTGATCTTGTGAGAAGGCAAAGACATGATATTCTGCAACAATTAACATGAAGATTCACCAGTAACTAGCTAAGACTCTGATCTTAGTTTTTACACTTGTATAACTGCAGAGTCTTCCTGAGCGATTACCCTGCCATGTCAGAGAGGGAAACATGGGAGGACTATCAGAAAGGAAGGCCCTTTTCATGTGAATGTGGAAATGGAGGAAGGAAAAAGCTGTGTGAGCTGAGCAAAAATTCAAGACCTAAAAGAGAAAATCTCAGAGAAGCAGTATACACTGCAGAGAAGTTTTAGGTTGTCAGTGAATAACAAAATAAAAGAAATCTAGAGTTAAAAGTGGTGCGGAAGACTACCAGCAAGGAAGAAGGAGGATATTAAAGTCCAAATTCAGATAGCCATGGAGAACTGATCTGTTCAAATTACTGGTGACACCAGTGTCCTGACATGGCAGCATCAGTGTCAGCTGAAAACACTGCTTCCAAGTACTTGTGAAAGCTCCATAAAAAGATAAGATAAAGAATTTAAAATTAGTTCTTTAGTTCTTAGTTTACCAAACAAGGTTTCCAAGCTTGAAATACAAGTAGATGTTATATATCAATGCCTTTATCTTCACAAATTCCTTTATCTTCTTTCTCTTGTTGACTGTTACAGGATCCTATCATTTGTTTTATTATTCTCTGCTGCTCGTGATGAGAAAATTCAAAATCTTCATGGAAGTTTTATGGTAAGATCTTTGAAAAAGCCAATCAACCATGAAATAAGAAATGATTTTTTTCTTTCTGACCAGATTAATATAAAGCATTTTGCTTTTTTGACCAGGAGATATCTGAAAATTTCAACTCACACACTTCAATGCCATTTATTGCTTTGTACACTAGAATCTAGTGTACAAATTGAGATAGTCTTAAATAATTACCCCCTTTCCAAAAGATTTACTATGGAGCTGAAGGAAGAGAAAAAGGCAATGACAATGGGAGGAAGTGTGAGATTTAATATATAATAATGATATGCTCTTTTTCTAAGGCCTCAAGAATTCAGGAGAGCATAATTTCTACAGGACATTGGATACTATCCAGGAAAAGCATTCCATTTGAAGGTATCAAATAATCTAAAAATTTTAGACATATGTGGCACATACACATCACTATTTCTACCTTATCAGAAAACAAGAATGGTCCAAGATTACCTAAGGCAGCAGTGGCAAAATGGAGCGATACTAAAAACATGTCAATCTAGAAAAAGAGTAAGGTCCTTTCAGCCTTCACCAGCTCCATAATTACATATATAATGTCTGAATATCACTGAGTTGGAAAGTCTAGGGTGTAAGTTCATTGGTTTCATAAATTTTTTGTGTGACAAACATTCTGTTACTTCCTACAGTTTTACCTTTTTCAGAGCTGGTTTATTCTGTCAAAGGCTAAGCCAGGCTTTGATGTTATATAAAGTATATTTTTCAATTAAAAACACTTCTATCTGTTCTCTATTCTAACAACTTATGATACTACTTCCAACTATATTTATAAGAAGACTCTTTTGTTTCAATCTGTCCCTTCTACTGATAAATGATATTTAGTGATGTACCAGTCATAAAAGTATCTAAGCACTAAGAAGTCACATGCACATGTCCCTTCAGCTATTTTAAAGATTTAAATTTCCATGCCTACTCCTCTTTTTTCCCTTCTGACATTTTGCCAAATATTCTCATAAATATTTTTTTTTCCTCTAAGGCTGAAATAAAGCTTCAGGGTTTAGGGCTCCTCAAGGCACTGTGGCATATTTTCTCATATATGGAAAACAGCATAACAGCTTTTCATGATAACATTTTACAAGTAATTTTGCCTTCTTCATGTCTTCTAAATCTTGTGCATGAAAAGTATGTATCCTAGTGACTGGCCTTGAGCCTTAAAGGGAATTTAGTTACATGGTTCTGAGCAGATAATCTCCCCCAAATTTGTTTGCCAAATGGGTGTCTAATTTACAGTGCCAATTACCTGAATTGCATGCATAAATGAGCTAATGAAAAACAAAAATGTGTAACTGGTCATAAATAGTCATTTCTATGTGCAATTGCAGTAATTGCATTCTCCTCATGATTTTGAAAATCAAGAATCTAATGTTAATTTGATGTTAGTTCATCTTGTGTAACAGTTATATTTAAAGATTAGGTTTATCATTCAGCAAATGTGTCAGCCTTGCTCTATTATGTCTTTTTCCATTATGGTTAATTGACGGATGACAGAGTTTAACATTGCAGGGACTTCTTTCTGCTGATAAGCAGGGTTCAGACATTTTCCCAAAGTAAGCAAGAGTGCAAATCTATTTCTATACTGTCTCAAAATAACCATAGTTTTATACTCCTTTAAACAGCATGTTTAAAAAGAAATAATCATTTGAGGTAATTATATTTTTGGGGAAAGACATAATAAGTCACATAACTATTTTTATCCAAATGTCCTGATTCACAATAATCACGTTACAGAAATATCTAATTAATGTAACACTTTGTTTCAGTCACGGGTCCTGGCAAAACCTAAGTCTCATTTTCTGTTTTCAAATGCAGGAAATCTTGTAGCTCTTGTTACTTACTCTACTGCCACCCCATCTGTTCCTCTCTTAGACTGACATTGCTTTCTGGGTAACATAGAGCTAAGACCTCTATGAGAGAAATTAGCAAGTTCCATGGCTTGACTGAAGGACTCAAGTATCATATGAAAACTGCTACATAATTACACTAACCGACTCAGCTGTTTTGTACTATTAAATTGTATGGTACAAAGACCAGGTACATATACTGCAGTTGTAGTTCTAAGTCATCAGACATAGTTCATTTCAAAATTAAAATGAGTATTTCAATCACTTTACTGTAATGATCAGACTATAAACAATAGAATTCAATTGCAGGGATTATGTTTTAATCTTCTGAACGTAAGATCTGACTTTGTATTTCTCTTTCAGTGGTTTTAACAATAGCAATAGGGTTGATAAATGCAGAGCCAGAAATATTACATTCATTATTACAAACAAGGCACAGAAAAATTACTGAATAACAATAGCTGAAAGAATAATCCAAAGTATATTAAGAGGATTATGTTGATTATATTTATAGTTAGATAGCAAGTTATGGCTCAATGCCATTCAAAGCATTTTACATATTAGGCCTCAATCCCGTAATCTGTTTCACTCAGGAAATCCCCCAAGCCATCTGTAAGACTACTATAAGGAAAATTTAAGTTATGTCATGTCTATGTCACTGTGTCATTCTTGTGCCAGGCCTAGTAAGGTGATCACTTTTGTAATATAAGCTACATTTACAAAAGAAAATTAAAATAAAAAAGCCCCATTAGAACAAACAGTCAAGTTAATAAGTAGAAGCCAATAAAGGTGGGAAAACTCGAACTTGCCTTCAATAGCTGCTGGTTTCTTTCTTGGACTGTGTTCTAGAAGAAGACGAGGTGGTGCAAATTCCTTATGTGCTGCACCTAAAACAGGTTATGAAGTATAAAAGATGTATTCACCAACAGGCTGAGCAGTTTCACTGGGAGGATGAGCTCCCCTCAAAACGGTTCATGTTAAAAATATTACATTGTGCATAAAAGCTAGTATTTTTCAGACACTATCAGAAGGAAATATATTTCTTAACAAATAAAGTAATTTATTTTTAAGAGTCACATTTGAGACCAATGAAGTCCACATGACTCAAACATATGCTGAAATGCTACAGTTCTGGTTTTCTTCCTTTGACTCAAAAGATAATAATAATACTATAATGATAAGGTTGCATACTCATGATGCCTGTTCTACAACAAAGCCTTATTTTCTTCTGTCAAACAAATGATCTTCAGTTGCTCCCTAAAGTCCACTTAATGAACTCCTGGAAACACTAGTTAAAATTATGATGTTTCTTGTCCTTAAGGCTCATTCTTAATTAGCCAATACCAACCAGGTCATGCATTATAAACACTGATGAGGTTCTGATTCCAGCTGCTGACTGAAACACCTCTACTCTCTCAGAGTGTTCAGCTGGGATTTTCTGTACTGTCTTAGCCTATGTGCAGATACCATGTTTTGTACAAAACACTTCTCACTTCACTTCTCCACAGATTCACAAATATATTTAATGTACCCTTATATTACTTATGCTTATTTTCTAGTTTATGACTTATTTGAAGTCTCCTTGTTTCCTTTTATTTCACTGGCATTTAGCCTCAGTAGCTATCCTGTCACTGTCATTTGGAAAGTGCTGGTTTTTTGTGACCTGAGAAATCAAATTAAATAGTTAAATATTATATTGATTCAGTCATATGCACCAGCATACATTCACTGTACCAGAGTTCACATGCAAACAGACTGTTAAAACTCAGCTCCAGCTTCACATCAGAAACTCAAAGTCATGCCTCATGCCTGATGATAGACTCAGAAAAGGAATTAAGGCCTTAATGGGCCTTGGGAACAGCAGCATCTTACTTACCCCTCTCACTTTGCAAAGGTGTGTATACTCATGGGGAATGCATAAGAAAAATATCATCTTGAAGACAGCAGTGGGATTTGAGCATCATGGACTTAATATTATTGCATCTCATCAACACATGTACAATTGCAGACACATAATGTGCGAGCATGTGATTCAGTTCATCCAGTAATTTGTATAAAATATCAAACATACAGCTGCTCAAACTTGACATGTCCCTGAGCCACTGACAAAATATTAACACATTGATAAAACCAATGTATTGAAGGTGTTTTGCAACAAATGGTAATAATCCTACATTTTCCATGTATTTCCTGTCTTGGCAATAAACCCAAGTGCATATTTACTGGTAATGTCACAGAATAACTATAGCCTTAAAATGAATGTTAGGAAAACTTCAAGAATCCAGATATTTAGTCATGATTTTCCAAATGCTTTATGTCTGGAAAAAAAAATATCTTGAAGTTGCAAACTGAACTAAGGAGCTGCTGATTACCTTTGTTGCCAACCAGAATGGAAAAGTTACATTCATAACCATGTCAACACACAGAATCTGAAGCAATTGAATTTCCAGTTCAGAATGAAAACAAAAAACAACATAGCAATTAATGAAGAATGGGTAATCTTATTTTTCCTTCTACGTTTCTTCAAAGTCCTAGAATGAATATTAGTTCTTTTTTCCCCCATTTTTTCTTTTTCCCTTTTTTTTTCCCTTTCCAGAACTAGACCACCTCTTCCCCAGTTAGAGAAAGTGGTAATTTTTATTACTTGGGTGAATATTTTGTGTGAAAGGGGACAAAGGGCAGTGGCTCAGAACGTTGAGTAGATGAGTAATGATGAAGGAGAGTTGATAATTTGGACTGCAGAGTGGTATCTACAGTGTGGGGCAATGATCTAACTCCTCTAGGTCAAATTGTAGGCTGGACCCATTATCTCCCTGTGCTTTGCTGTGGCAGCAGTTTTCTAATGATAGCACCAGTGTGCACATAATGCCAGTATGATACCACTTATTGCTAATGACTTGTCAAGTTCTATTTTATAGCTTTACAAGTTTTAAGCAAATCATTTATTTCATGCAAATTGACCACATGATCCAATATGAGAGTGTTTTAAGTTTAAGCTTCACAGATCAAAAACTTTCCCTTAGGCCAAACTGTTTGTTCTGAGCAGGTTCCCATCCACTCTGATAAAAGGCTTCTTTAATGTTTCCATGTCTTATTAAATGTCTCTCTATTCACTTTGATGGGAATGTAAAGGACAGTAAATGAATAAATATTTTATCCATTCTTTTGATGAAATATGTTAAAGGGGATAACCTAAGTCAAATTTCTTTTCTTTTCCTTCTTCTCTCTTCTTTAAGTTATAAAGCACAAGTGGTTTTCTGTAGTACAGACTGATAAATAGAAATGAGGAATTGGCTTCAACAGATCAGACCACTCGTATTAATGATGTCTACTATCTTGACTCAAGCAGTGGCCAGTTGGACACATATCCATGATGTAAATGAGAGGAAGGCGGGATGTATTTAATGCTCTCAGTGGACAATCAGATTAGTCCATGAATTACGAGAAGTTGTTATCCAGATTACCACTATTATTGCTGGACATGCACTTATCCCACAGCTTTTAAAATGCAGCCACAAAAAGCACTGCATAGTTACTTGCTTCTCATTTCCAACATAGCCTCCATTTTACTGCTAGGAGATAAGCCACTAAGGTTCATTTAAGCTGCTTAAAAAAAAATAAAGTAAGCTTTGATTTCTCCAAAAGATGTAATTGCAAGCACAAAAATGTCCATGCATTTTTGCCAGTCTGTCCCTAGAGCTGATCCACAACATTTGCATGTGTCATCTGTCCATGCAGCTGTGCTTTAGGTATCTCCTTCATATTATGATATTGTAAAAAGCTGAAAATATATTACATCTGATGAAAACAGAAAGAGTGAAATATTTTGGATTTAGGCTCATGGGAATGATCTCACCAGGAAAAAAAGTGTCACATTAAGACATGAGTACCTTCCTCCACAGCCTGAAAGGAAAGAAATAGGCTGCAAGGATGAATAGGTTTAGGACTTTAACTAAGTAACATGAACACTTCATCGAAAATCAGCTACAGTCCTCAAGATCTGGGAAACTTCTGTCATCAGTGTTTATCAAATTGATTGAGATGTCTTGAATAAATTAATCCTTACTTGGTTTATTAATATTTTAGATTTTTTTATTGCATGATAAGGCATACAAGACAAACTTTAGTTACCTTACTTTTCTCAATCTAGGAAATGTCTCTGTGTGTGTGTCAAAAATGTCATATTTAAATATTGTGTATAAACTGATTTATGATAATATCAAATTATATGAGTTTTCCTTCTTTCCTGATCTTCTGAGTTCAACTTGTCTGCAGCAACCGTAATAAAGTGTCTAAATATATCTTTCAGGATAAAAAAATTAAATTAAATTAAATTATTATTATTATTATTATTATTATTATTACTACTACTACTACTATTCCGGCATTCCAGACTGGTGAATATTCCAATTGGATATGGAGAGAAATAATGCCATCACAGGGTGCAATATGTGGAAATACCATTCCTATGACTGTTCATTTCCTCATATCCATATACCTGAACAGCAGGAATCCTATGGTCCACCAGCACCAATACTTTGTTACAGTTTCTCTGTTTCTACAGCAAAATGTCTTCAGCTAAATCTCATTCTGCTCAGATATTACATCATTCTCTAGCGATAGTAAAAATAATTCAAATAAAGTAATTGTCTTCGCAGAGTCATTTTTTTATGAAAAGTAAATTCCAATCAAATGTTTAATGAATGTTGGAACAAGGCATGGATCAGTAGAATGAGGCAAGACTGCCAAATTTGCTTTTAGAGGACTGAAAACGTTATGGAGTCCAACCCTTTTGCCCAGGCTTCCTGTTTTGACGTGCCAGTTGCTACAAGTTAAAGGTGAGTGTCTCCCCAGCTTTCAGTCACTAGGCTGTGACTGTTCTGGGGAAAGGTTTCTCTGCTTATTATGTGTGCATGAAAGGAGCAAACTGTTTTTTTACTAAGAAAGAACAGCTGAGGATCAAGAGGTGAGATTATGTAACTGTACTGAACAGTGCAAATGCTCATTTTCTGGAATGTATTCCTTGAAATAAAATACTCGTGCCCCATGTAGGCATTCTTTCCTAAGGAACACACTGTGGCACAAAGATTTAATTCACACTGGCAATTAAATGGGGCCTGGGAACATTACTGGTCTCTGGAATTCAGATTTACATATCCTGCAATATATTTTTGGATAGCCTCTGACAACTGTGACTTGTGCCAAGCAGCAGTGTCACAAAAAATTCATTGGCTCAATTCAGGAATTGGCAGGGGCCAGGGACCACTCCCAATAGATAGCTGAGATACATCCAACCCATTTTGACCTTGAGGAAGTGTACTGGATGTGGATCTCTCTATGAGAGAAAAAAATCACATTCAGAGAGAGAACAGTTGAGTTGAGTTTGATTTAGTAATCTAGATGTGGCCACATAACAAAATTATGTCAAATGGGAAAAAATACTAAACAGGATTTTAATGACCTACTTAAAACAAAATTTTTGGCAGGGGAGGATGGAATTAATGGATAATAAAATGAGACTTTTAAGAAAGTATATTTTAGTAGCCTACATATATTTCCATTTTTCAATTGCACTCAGAAGGTGGCTCTTTATTAAATGGTTAATTGCCCAACATAAAGTGAAACTCTGATTTTGCATAGGCTGATGATATTATTTAAGAAAAAACTACACTACAGTATATGCAGTGATTACCAGTAGCAATGCAATCTTTTAAATTTTAGTGTTGCCACACTATCAGCCAATTTCTTTTATGATGCATAAGAAAAGAAGAAAAGGGGAGATACATGGGTAATGACCAATCTAGCTATGTTCCACTATATCTATGTATTTGAAATCCATTAAAAAAACACAAATAATTTTGGAACTCTACATAGAGTCTAA